AGTCCCCACCATCTTCCTTGGCAAATCCTCTCTGGGGGCATAAAGCAAACAAGCTGACATTATGGTGCCACCTTTGGCCCACATTGACACCATTTTTTTCTCCCTTTGCAGTTTCTCCTTCCTTCCTTCCTTCCTTCCTCTCCTCTCCTCTCCTCTCCTCCTCCTGCCATTTTGCTCCTCAGCAGCTTCTTCCTCCCAGAGGGAGCCATGTGAGGAAAGGAGAGCCCTTTCTCCTCCTCCTCCTCCTCCTCACCAATCTGGCCATTCCTGCCTTGAGGCCCTTTGTGTCCCCAGCCCCATTTTATCATTACTATTATCATCGTCATCAACATCATCATCATTTATTTGTTTAAATTTATTGGCCACCCCACTCCAGTGGACTCCGGGGGGTGCACAAACCTAAAAAAGACCTAAAACCCGCCAGAGATATTTGCGCGTCTTTCCCCTCAGCCAGAGAGGCTCTTTTCCCGCCTCCCCGACGTCCATTTTGGCTCCGTCCCTCCCGGACGGCCTTCGCCTTCCTCCGGTGGACGCGCATCGAGGCTTTCTTCTCAGAAAGGGGAGCGAAGCCGGAGTCCTGCTCAAACGTTTCTCTCTTCGGCCCCAAAGACGCAAGGCAGAAAGATTATTGGGATTATTTTATACAAGCCCGTGTGAGGAGAGCTCGGCAGGGTCTGAAGCAGCAGACGGGCCGTCAAGAAAGCTAAATTTGCCATTAAATTGATCAAGGGCCAGGTTTTTCTTGGCATCCCCCCTCCAAACTCTAAGCCGTGATGATTTGTAGCTCTTTCCCCCGTTTTTACACATAGTCACAGAACCGAGAGCTTCCATCGCTCTGAGCCACGGTGTTTAACTATGGTTGGAAAAGGAAACCAGAATTGTGTTTGGGCTGCAAAGCCATAAATCATGGCTTGCAAATAATCATGTCCAGGTTTACAGCTTTGCTAGGCTGAAGCCAAAAAAAACGTGTTAGGTCTTTGTTGGGCTGTTTATAAAATACAGTTGTGTGTGTGTGTGTCTATCTACAGCATCTATCTATCATATCTCAATCTATCATCTATCAATGATCTATATCTATCTGTCTTTCTTTCTGTCTGTCTGTCTATCTATCTTTCTATCATTATCAATCTCTCACCTCTCATTTCTCGTCTCTCAATCATTATCTTGATCATTATCTATCATCTATCATTATCAATTATCTTGATCATTGTCTATCATCTATCATTATCTTTTATCTATATATCATCTACCATTATTTTTATCTATATATTTCTATCAATCATTATCTTTTATTTTTCATCTATCAATTATCTATTCGTCATTACTATCATCTATCTATCATTATTATCTATCCTTATCATCTATCTAACTTCTATCTGTGTAACTTTAGTTTCTTCTGAGTAGCTCGCACAGTCATGTATGTGAGATGGGCAGCTATAAAAATTTACCAAATAAATAAATAAATGCATAAATTGCAATATAAAATTAAAGTATTCAAAAATTATATGAAATATAACTTCGTTCTGTAATAACAACTCTTTAAAATAAATAGGTAATAGCTTAATCCCACGTCCTTCAGCACTGTTTAAGGTGGTAACACCACTCATTTAAAGAAATGTTTTAATTTTAAAGTCTCTAAATAGAAACTGTCTGGCCTCTTCCCAGAAGAGCATCTACTGTATAGTATTTTAGGCTCTAGAGATCTGCAGATTACTTTATTCCCCCTCCCATTTCTTTTAAGAGGAGAAAACTTTAATATTGAAGTTATTGATCACATAAAATCCCCACTACTATTATGAAAATATCATTTTGTTAAAAAAGCATTATGCTTAAGTTATGAGTAGACAAAAATGTAGCTATGTACAACAGTATTAACAAAACTATAATATAACCACTAAATTATTAATGAAGCTAACAAAAAGGCAAAACAACTAAAAGTCAAGGCATTTATGGGGTGTGAGCTTTTCTTATGCTGAAGATGGTGTACAGCTGAATATTTTCACGTCCTTGGCGCTCCAAAAGTTGACAAGTTGGTGCAGATTGGAAGAAATCAAAAGAAACAAATCCAAAACACCTATTTTGGTGGCAGCTGGCATTAGTTTCCCGCTGAAATATCTAGAATCAGCTTTTTTTCAGTACTTTCTAGAGGAGAATAGGATTGCAGGGTTAAATAATCACAGATTATGTATTTATAGACAATGGTAGCTCAACTTTTTCCTGTTTATGTGTGGGTGTGGGTGTCTGTAGCAGGAACTTAAAATGCTTTGCTGATCTATTGCAACTATCTTCCAACCTATTTCCTCTAGAAGAACAGGATACTAAGTAAATTATTTTTTTTTTCAGGTGCAGTTATCTAGAAATAAAGAGATGAAGAGGAATTTCACTGACAGTTCTTTGATGCGTAGTACAGCAGGTATCCATCTCAACTGGCGTGGAATCGGGGGGGAGCTATTACAATTTCCGACCCGATGACCAGCAAGATGAGTGGAGTGAGCAATATTATTTAGGGCGTTAGGTTGCAGTCCGTGCAAAAGGTGATCAAACATCTCCCATGTTACCTCCTATTAAGTCAGGGGGCATTTCTGTAATTTTCTTCCCATTCTTCCCTTCCCAGACTTTATTTTCCTTTTTATGAGAAGACTGCAACCATCCAGAAAGATGGGAGAAGAAGTCCTAATTAAGACATTGCACATGTTTTTTTAATTGTGTGAACCCATCATTAAAGTCAAGATGGTGGCTGTCATTGAAGCCCTGCCTCTTTTTACAAGTTTGCAACACACATAAAGGGGGGGGGGGCTTCAATCACCATCTTACCTTTTTTGAGACACACACACCTCTCAGTGGATGCCCCTGCCAGAATTCACTCCCCTTCGATGGGTGACTCTGTAATTCAGAAAAGTGATGTGCTCATTTATTTTATCCTATTTTTTATTGGTGGAATAACAAGTGTTCGCTGAGTAGATTTCCTGCATTAATCAATATTAGCTACAAACTGCAAACAATCATAATTCCTTGGCTATTAAAATATGCTGGAAAGCAGGAGGGAAGGTCCTAAAAAATGGAGAGCCTTAACTATTATAAACCTTTATGAAAAATTCACAGGGAAATCTGTTCTGTCTCTTCCAACCCTCCACTCAATTTTCTCTTGTACAATGTTGTTGTTGTTCAGTCGTTAAGTCGTGTCTGACTCTTCGTGACCCCATGAGCCATATCACGCCAGTCCTTCCTGTCCTTCGCTGCTTCCCTGAGTTTGCTCAGATTGATGCTCATTGCTTCA